TTTAATCTATCCTTTTCTTTGAGTCTCTCATCTCTGAGACTAAGCATTCGCTTCATGGTCGCATACTTTCTTGTTTTCTTTTGTTCCCCCTCTTCCCGCTCGCTGAAAGTCTCCATTCGGAGCAACTTAACAGGTAAGATCTCCCATTGGAGAAGGAAATACGGCCGAACGCCGAGCCCTCCCTGCTCGCCGCAAAGGGGATCCGCCAAGTCTCTCCTTGGCACGCTCTCCTCACCATGTCCACGCCGCGGTCCGCTTCTTCCGGAATCCTACATGATGTTACAGTACAGGTTCTCCTATGTCTTGAGTCTTCACTGACCTTGAAAGGCTAGGGCCAAAATGTTGGCGGACCTTGTAGCCCTTCCTTTTCTCTAATTTTTGACCTGCAAACTTAGGTTGTTAACCCTCCAGAAGAGAAGCTTATTATTACCCTGCAACGTATGCAGTTCGGTTTACCCTGTCTGTCTAAATATCAAACATCTTTGGCATAATGTGGAACAGGTATTTTCCATCAAGTATTGATGTGTTGAACTTTAAGTCCTTACAGAATATGAAGAAAAAATAATTTTAAAAAATAGGAATAAACACGTATTTTTACACAGAAATTTAGAAATCTAACCATATACAGCATTGTAGCAGGACAGTCCTGTGACATTTATTTTTCTTTTTCTTGTGTCTTTTTTTTTTTATTACTCATTTTAAAAAAAACTTTTACTTGTGGGACAGTATGGTAATACTTGGTATGTCCTGACAAGAAGTATGTATTTAGAAGACCAGAATGATAGTCATTCCAAGCAAGACCCTTCTATTACACATTGCTATCTTCAGTACAGTTGCTTGGTTCACAGGTATTAGCATATATAGTTAGTCAGGGTGAGAATTCTACCAATTAATTGCTAGTTTCAAAAACTTGCTGGTGTTTCTCAGGATCATTGCCTTGCCCATCTTGTGCGTACAAGTGTATGGCTTTGTCCCTGTCCTGCTTCCCAGCTTTTCTCCTTACCCTCTCCTCATTGTCCAGTCACATTCTCGCTTTCATTTTAGTCGTGTTATACCTTTCTATTTGTATTTCTTCTTTTTATTTCTTATACTAGGCAGACTATATGATATTTACACATGTGTGTCTGGTTTATTTCACTTATGAGAATATGTTCAAGTGGCATCCACTTCAATATAAAGCCTTCAAGTTTATCATTCTTAATAGCTGAATAATACTCCATTGTGTAAAAATACCACATCTTTTTCAACCATTCCTCATGTGACAGGCATCTTGGTTGTTTCCAAGATTTGGCTATCACAAATTGTGCTCCTATAAACATAGGTACGCATATATCACCATGATACGACGTTTTCCGTTCCCCTGGGAAAATTCCCGGTAGGGGGATAGCAGGCTTGAATGGGATTTCCAGTCCTAGTTTCTTAACGAGTCTCCACACTGATCTCCATAAGGGTTGCACCAGTCTACATTCCCACCAGCAGTGGAGAAGGGTTCCCCTTTCCCCACAGCCTCTCCAACATTTGTTGTTGGTT